TATCTGCAAAGCTTTCCTTCTCTTCCATTCAAGGTTAGCATTAAAAACCATTGTCTCATGAAACTATAAACTAAGCTTCTAAGTTAGCTGACCTCTGTCTCAGATAATTCAAAATATTCAAAGTATTCATCACTATAGTCCAAGAGAATATTAAATGTTCATTTGTTTTAGGAACAAAGTCAATCAGATAATACAGCCTGATGCTTATTCTATTCTGCACATGAGATAAGGAGATACATCTATTTGTCCCATTTTGGCACTCCAGATTTTTAATTTAAATTTAATTTAATTTAAAAAGCTAAGCATAGATGAATTATTTATTGAACACAGATTAATTTAAAAGATCCTATTACTGGAAGCAGAGCAAAGATCTAAAAGATTGATTCTAGGAGGAAGCAATGTATGAAAGCATGAATTTTGAGAAAGCTATAAAAAGGGTGAAAAAAATTGTGAAAAGGAAATTGGTACATAAATATTTGTATGTGGGTTACATAAGCAAAGTTCCAACCAAGGCATTTGTCTTTTTGTCTTCATGTTAAGCCTGCAATCTTGAATTTGATGCCCAAATCCTATATGTTGTAAAATGAAGTAACAACCTCCATTAACTTTATACTCAAGAATGATTCTGGATCCCATATGGATTCTAGAACTTTGCTTTCAAAAATAACCAAGGATGAATAATTACAGATCAAGGCTTTCTCTGGAGGTATGCCCATCTTCCTAAAGGAGAAAGTCATGCAGGATTGTACGGGGCATGTGGGATTGAGGGCGGCACTAAAATAAGTGTAGCTAGCATTTTATGAAAGCGGCACTTTGCAACTGGTGATGGCTGATTTGTGAAAGCATCTACAATAAGTTACCAGAATCCCAAACTCAAATCTCTAAAATGTTGAAGCTGTTCAATGTTAGTTATGAAATTTAAAAAGCATGAGATACTGATTATAATAGCAGTTGTTTACAAATAGATGGGAAGTACTATCACTGAAGATTTGGAAGATCAACTAATGAATGGAATGAAATATCAAGGAAAACTCTCCCCAGATGCAATTCAGTCCAGGGCCACTGACATACTAAACTATCTTATTTGTTTAAACTATTTTTACTTATACAACTTCAAACATTCTTTGAATATAACAGATTTATATTTGATCCAGTCACTTGACTGTGTTGTTGACATAGCACTCCATGCTAGAATCATGTACTATTCAATTAGTACCAGGTCACAATCTTTCAACTAGAAGGTAACACGTAGTGATATAAGCTGATCTCAGAAACTTAAAAAAAAATTCAGGCCTAGCTAACATTTGGATGAGAAACCACCAGGAAAGTCCAGAGCTGTGAGCTGGAGCAGAAAGTCAAAAGCATATCCCAGAAGAAGACTGATAATGGCATATCATTTTCATGGTATTATTAAGAGTATTTGGAAATGGGTCCAATAGACATCATTAGTTAAGGTTGATTGACACAGGTCTTTACAATTATTAAGCCATTAAATTTTGCCCTGTCCCTAAATTCAAATACTTGAATATTAGAATTACCTGGATATTGTGGGGGGGGGGGGGAGAGAGAGATATTTGAAGAAGAAATCCAACCAGATTTGATTTTTAGGACTTAGATGTGATTTTATTCATTTATTTACATGTATCCCACCTTTATTATTTTTATCAATAACTCAAGGTGCTGAAAATATGTAATATTCCTTCCTCCTCCTATTCCATGTCTGTTGCCAATCCAATATTCAGTTTTCTGCATCATAGTGTAAGATGAATAGTTAAATGATGGAAAAGATCCAGTTTAATTCAACGATGTTAATCTTAAGTTTAGAAAAGTAAACCTTAGGGAAGCATATTTTTGTTTTATGTGTATTGTGCTTCAGAATGCAAATAAAAAATCCAGCATGAGAACAAAAATGATACAGTGATCAGGATGATTTAGACATCTTTGGTCTTCTTTCTATGGCCTCATACCAAGTAATAACTCCCATCACAATATTCCATTTCAGAGATAGTTTAGAGTAGAATATTTTCATAGCAATAAATTAGATAAGGTAATTTAAGCAGTGTGCTTAAATTCTGCTTTCTAATAAAAATTTTCAAATTCTTCCTTAATTCCTAAATGGTAAACCAAGTATAGTGTTTTCACTTATTTCAGAAAAGGCTTCAAGCTAGAGAAGACCTGATCCATCCTTGCCCCCTTCCATTTTATTTATAAGTGTGTGCAGAAGGACCTTCATCTGGATCATGGCTCCCATTCAGAGAGGGGGGAAAACTGATCTCTACTTCACTCTCTTGTTATTTTTCATAAACTTCTTATTTTCTACTTGTTAGATTCAGAACATACTTTTTTTCTATCCTCTTTCCAGTTTTTTCTTTGGAGCAGAAATTAAAACTGTAGGGATTTTTTTAAAAAATGCAAATATTTTGATGAAATCTAGCACTAGGAGCAAATTTATCACTGACTGTATGGCTACATTCTCTAAACCTAGGTATCTTATGGTTTC